GGTGGTGGTGATGGTGCTGCCGATGCTTCCGATCCTTGGGCCGGCCCCGCTCCTGGTCCCGCTCCTTCGAGGGCAGGTCTCCGGACTGGGTGGTCATGCTCAGGTCTGTCCCCAAGCCTGTGCCGGGAGGGGGTTGGACAGAGATGGCAGTGAGGGAGGGGTGGGGCAGGGTGGGTGGGATATACACACAGGAGACCACCAAGAGGGTCTGGGGGCCCTAGAGAGAGGGGCCTACCCTTGGACCAAGGCAGGCCTGTGGGGACAGAGCTGGTTGGTAGAAGACAGCCCAGTCCCCAGGCTCCCGCAGCAGCCCCCTGGCCCTCTCTGCCCCATACTCTTTGAGGCCTGTCCCTCAGAGACTACCCCACTCTCTTCTCCTCTGTCACCTCTTAGAGCCTCCTGTCTCTGGGCCTGGCCAGGCGGCCCACCTGTGTCCACGTCGGTGTAGCGGCCCAGGGAGCGCTCGGAGGTGCGGTGGCTGCGGTCGCGACGCCGCTGGTGGTGCCGCTGGTTCTCTTCGGGCGGGACCCGCTCCAGCGAGTAGTCGTCCAGGCGCCGGGCCTTGGGGCCCAGCACGGAGGCTGAGCGTTTCATGGGGCTGGTGTCTGAGATGGTCTGGGGGGGAACAGGCCAGCGGGCCAGGGTCAGTGGCTGGCACCAGGTAGTCCTGGGCCTTCCTGACCTACTGTGGCAGCCTGGTAGGCGGCCATCAGTAACCAGGGTGTGACCATTCAGGGCCAGGGTCCAGGTGATGGTGTGGGGTCTCAGTTCCGTCTGATTAACAAGGGGCCTGGCCTGCCCACTCTGAGGGAGGACGCCTCTGTACCCCACAGACAGGGCTGCTCTTCCTGGGCCCATCCTGGGTTCCGGCCAGGAGGCCCTGTCTGATCCGCCACCTCTGCTGCTTCTCAGGACCACCCTAAGGGGCAGCCCCTCACCCTGGAGGCCCAGCCAGGGTGAGCAGGCTGGCTGAAGGAAAGCCCTCTCCCCCCATGCAAGTGCCAACTTGGAGCCCCGGGCTGCCTGTTGCTGCTCTGGCCCCCACCTGCTTTCCAGGGAGGTGAGAATCCTTCACCTCCCACGGCTTCTGACCTGTGGGCTCAGGGTCAGCCCTCAGCACCCCAGCTCAGCCTCCCCCTTGGCCAACTGGGCCGTGAGCTCCCACCCCCAGTCTGGCTTCTGCTGTCCAGGTCCAGGTAAGGGAGCTCCGTGGGCCTGCCCTGGCATTTGAGGCCCTGGGGCCCCACTCTTCCCATCCTCGGCCTGTAGCCCAGCCCCAGGGTCAAGCACTGGACAGAGAGGGGGCTACGGCTCTCCGAGGCAGACAGAGAAGAAGGAAGACCAGGTAGACACCCCAAGGGCCCAGCTGGATGGCTGGGGGCACTGCCCAGGTCCGGAGCTGTAAGGGACATGAGGTCAGGGGTCGGTGGTAGTATCAGGGAGACAAGCCCCCCCAAAAGAGGTGCAGGTGGATCAGGTCAGCCTCCTGGAAGATGGTGCCCCCTGGCTTGGGGGCTCTGAAGAGAAGGGGGCCGGGGTGGGAGTGGCCCTGCCCCACCAGGGCATACACGGGGCACACACAGGACACAACACACACACACACACACACACACAGGAGGATAGGGCTCCACAGGGGGTGGGGTGGGGGTCTGCAAAGAAAGGGTGGGGTCTGAGGACGGCAGAGATGACAGATTCCCACGAGGGGGGTGGGGAGGAAGAGGGGCCGGGGCCGGGGCCGGGGCCGAGCCGGGTGGCGGGCGGCGCGGTACATACACTGAGGTTATTCCCACGTGGCCGGCCCCTTCTCCTCTGTCACAGCCCCACGGGATGGTGCACACAGAAAAAACAGAAAGAAGAAAATAAATATAAAAGGCAAGAGGGAGAGGAGGGCGGTGGTATATGCAGGAGGTGCCAGAGAAGGCAGAGGAATTGGGGAGGGGAGAAGGGAGGGAGGAAGGAGAGTTAGAGTCCCTGGTGGGGGATGCCCTGGGCCTGCCCAGGGGTGCAGAGGAGACAGACAGGAGACGCAGACAGACAGATGGCAGAGGCACGAGATTGACAGATGGGACAGCACTGCCACAGGCCCCGGCCCTGGGCTCTGCTCATGCCATGCACCCCAGCCCTGGCTCCAGCGGACGCTCAAAGCTCCTGGGTGGTGGCTGTCTGTCAGCTGGGCCCATCCCAACTCTCTCCTGGGGCCCAGCAGCTCAGTCCTGAGGGAGGGGACTGGACAGCCCCATGCACGCTGCGTGTCCCCCACCCCAAGTTCACAGCAGCAAGAGGCCAGGCGCTTGGGCGACCCTGGTCCAGCCAGGCACAGTGCAGCCTTGCGCCCCGTGCAGACACCATGGCACAGCGCACGGGAAGCTTGCCCCAGCCAGACATGCCACCCTGCCTGGGCCAGGCCCGCGGTGGCCCCTCCCTGTTCTCATGGCTCCCTCAGGCTGGGTGGGCTGCCAGCCTTGCCTCTGGCTTCTGGCCCCTCTGTCTCCGTGGGCCACGGCAGCTGGGTCAAGCAGCCACACACAGACACACATCAGGCACACACCCCTGCACCACCCAGCGGCCCCCACAGAGACCAGACAGGAAATACAAATCCCAGCTGCCCCCAGACCCACCCCAGACTCTGCTACCAGGTCCTAGGACCAGCCAAGTTCTCCCGTGCAGGCCTGTGTGTGCATGTGCATGTGTTTATGCATGCAGTGTGCATGTGTGTGCACGCATGTGCAGTGCATATATGCCCACGGGCATGTGTCCAGGTGCGCGTGTGCACGTGTGAGCATGTGTGTGTGCAAGCGGGATTCTTGATTGCAGCTCTCACCTGGGCCTGATGAATCCCCTACCCCACAGTCCTCCACTTCCTCCCTCTTTAGTCCCCCCAAGCAAGGCAGAGAGAAACCACTCTGCAGTAATCTGCCCCAGGAGCACCCCTCCCCCTCTCTGCCCTCTCTTAGGGAGGGGCCGAGAGGACAGGGCCTCCAGGTGCTCCAGGTGCTGCCAGGCAGGGGGCGGGGCCTGCACACAGCTGCAGAGGTCACAGGTGGCCCCACCCAGGCCTGCATCCGGGAGAGAGGAGACACACTGGACCGTGTGGGGGGCATCTGCCCCCGCCAGAGCTGGGTTGGGGTGCAGCCCCCGGGCGGTGGGTGAAAGCCCTCACCTGGTTCTCCGCGGGGAGGCGGGGCATGGAGGCAGCCCGGGCCTGGCCTTCCATGGGGAGGTAGTGCTCACTGTCCGAGTAGCCATCTCTGCCCATCTCTCGCATCTCCACAGACTGTGGGGCAGATGGCGAGACCAGGTGAGCCCCAGCGCCTGACACATGATGTCTGCAGAGGGAAGGAGCTGCAGGTGGGGGCCCAGACCCGGGAGCTGTCAGGGTTGTGGGGGGACAGAGGCACCTGAGAGTTGGGCTGGCTGTTGGGCATGTCGGTGGGGGGCCCCCGCTCTGGGCTCCATGTGCCCGTCTTCTGGAACATCTCCTGGGCCCGCTGGGTCACCCAGGATGGGCTCTCCTTGATGCCGCCTTCGTGAGCCATCCTGTGTGGGGGACAGAGAGGCCAGGGTGGTGGTGGGCACTTGGGGGCTTCCGGAACCCAGGGACTGTCACCCTCACCTCCCGCCTCCTGGCCAGACAACACTCACAGGCCTCCTCCTGGGTCCAGCTGGGTGGAGGGGAGGGCATTCTGGCCAGGTCCCCCCTCCTGTGTTGGAGATGGGGGCTCCATGCGCTGGAACATAAGGGGTGTCCGGTTCTGGGGAGGCAGAGAGCAGTATGTGTACACAAGAGTGGTGGCACGGGGGACAGGGGACAGTGGGGGGAGTGTAGGAATCTCAGGCTCTGGCCAAGGCTGCAGTTGAGCAGGATGGAGGGAACGCTCAGACCCTCCTCACCCCAGGTCTGATCCATCTAGACTCTTCCTTCCAAATTCATCCAGAACTGGACCACTTCCCACCCCTCCACTCAAGTCACAGCCCCCACCCTGCACTGGTCCCCCCAGGTCTCCCGACTTCTACCCTCACCCCCAAAGTCTGTTTCTCTACAGCCACCAGGGGGTGCCTGTGAGCATCTGAATCAGTCATGTCCCTCCTCTGCCCAGGACCCTCCATGGCTCCCACCTCACTAGGAGTAAAAGCCAAAGTCCTCCCCGCAGTTCCCAAGGCCCTGAATGATCTGCCCTGTCACTTCCCTCCCCTTGCCTCCTCCTGCTCTCCTCCTGGGTCACTCTGTTCCATCACATTGACCTCTTCCCTGTTCCCCCAAATCACCAGGCACAGGCTGGCCTCAGGGCCTTTGCACGGGCTGTTCCCTCTGCCTGGAACGCCCTTCCTCAGCCTGCTGCTTGGCTCCTCCCCCCCCTCCTCCCTCAAGTCCTTACTCAGCTGTCACCTCCTCAGGGAGGCCTCTCCGACCACCCATTTCGCATTGCATCCCCCTACCGCCGGCATTCATGATCGTCCTTATTCTGCGTCCCTTTTCCCATGGCACTTTGCTGTCTTGCTGTATGATTAAGCCATTTGCTGCTGCTGGCATTTCCACACCCTGAGTGTCTGCTCCCTGAGGGCAGGGATTCTGGTCCGTGTTGCTCACAGCTGTACCTCCCATGGCTGAGAATAGCACCAGGCACATAGTAGGTGCTTCCACACCCTGAGTGTCTGCTCCCTGAGGGCAGGGATTCTGGTCCGTGTTGCTCACAGCTGTAACTCCCATGGCTGAGAATAGCACCTGGCACATAGTAGGTGCTCGATAAGTGTTGGTGGGTGGATGAATTAACCCAGGCTATGTCTCTTTGCCACGGCCCTGCTTCTCAGTGATCTCTCCTGGGGTTTGGCCATGCCCCCCTGTTCTGGTTGGTTCTCATGGTGACAAGCAAGCCACTGTCCCCAGGGCGATGGCCAGCATACCTGCTCCTCGCGCATGGCCTGCAGCTTCTTGGCCTTGCTCTGGCGGTAGTACTCCATGATCATCATGGCTGCGTAGATCTTCCCCACCGTCAGGTCCGTGGCTGGGGGCACAGGGCGAGCTCACCAGGGGTGCCAGCCCCGTCCCTATGCCCTCCCCAGGCCTCCTCTTTTCCTCCCCCTCCCTCCATCCTGGCCGGGCTCGACTCTTACACTTGTGAGGTGTGACCAGCAGGTCCAGTGTCTTCTGGGACAAGTTGGGCCAAATGGCCATCATCTCCTTCCGAAGCTCAGCATCCATCTGCTGCTTGTCTGCTCCGCCTGCAAGGTGGGTGCAGACAGACCCTGACTGCCCACCTGGTGGTCAGCTGGCCTCTGGGCCAGCTGCCAAGCCAGCAGCTCCTGAGAGCAAGACCACTACCATTCAGGTTCCAGTGGGGTCTACAGTGCTCCTGGAGCCTGGCCCACGGGAGGCCCTGGGCAGGGCTGGTAGAATGACCTCACAGGGCCAGGGCCACGGAGCAGCTGATGGGGGAGAGTCCAGCATGGAGAGGGGCTGAGGTCCCAATACTGGCTCCCACTCTACCTCTCGGTGCCTCAGTTTTTCCATCTGTGAAATGGGGATGATCGATTATGTGACAAAGCAGTTAATGTGCATGAAGCCTTGGGGTAGTGAATGCCACAGGATTATCACTACAGTGACCCATCCATCCAAGGCTGGGACACCCTGGAGCATCCCCGACAGAGGTTTCTCTCCACCCATGGACATGCCCTTGGGTGCAGCAGACTCCCGGTCCCTCACCCCAGCCATGATGCTCATGAAGATTCTCTGCCAGTTTCCTGGCCTTGCTACCTGAGTACATGGGAGGGATGGTGGCCCTCCTTGTCCCCCTGTGGTTGGCCAGGGTGAGGGATGAGTTCTTGCTAATGGGGTGTGATCAGAGTGACATGCCATTTTGGGGTGAGGGCTTTTCTTTTTCTTGGCAGCTGGCTGGTATGGGGATCAAACTCTGGACCTTGGTATTGTCAGCACCACACTTTAACCAACTGAGCTACCCGGCCAGCCCACCAGAGTTTTAATTGTCAGAGTGGGACCCATCCGAGCTCTCTTTCACTCTATCACATGGCTGGTGACCTTACAGACAGTGGCTGCTCCCTCAGGCTGGTCCCTAAGTGACTCTGATGAACAGAGCACCCTGTCAACCCACGAAGGACACAACAAGCATGGGACACGAACCTTTACTGGTTTGAGCCACCAAGATCTTGGGGCTGTTTGTTACAGCAGCTTGGCCACATCGATCCTGACTGATATGCCAGCCTGGTCCCCACTTCTACTTCTGTTTCACAGCCCCTGACACTGTGTGCAGGGTCGCCGTTCCAAACACTGATCAGCAGGCACGGAAGAAATGTTAACCCACAGTCCCTGATCAGATGCAGAATCTGAAGACCCCCTGTGGGGCCAAACATTAACCTTGTAGTTGCTGAATCTTGGGTGGCAGTCGCAGGGGGCCTGAGGCGGGGGGAGAGCAGGGGCCAGCTCCCAACCAGTAGAGAAGTATTTCAGTGTTTTAATAACTATCAGGTTTCCACCAGCCTCCCCTCACCCAGCATCTGCCTCCCTCGCCCTCTCCTCCCCAACTGCTCCATGTGTCAGACTGGCTTTGGGCTGCCTCTGGCGCCCCTGCCCAGCTTCTCCTTCTCAGCACAGACACTGCCAGGCACCCTGCGAAGCTTTCACTCACCTTCCCCATGTGGCTCTTTTATGTTAGGAAAAATCTTTCAGAACGGCCTTTTTGTGAATGCACAGGTAAAGCTCAGGCCCTATTCCGGAAGAGGACGTTGAGGCGACAGGAAGCTGAATTGACTGTTCTGTCCCCATCACCGCTGGCCTGGACCAGTGCAGTCGCCTCTGCCCAGGTCTCCTGCACCCTCCCAGACTACTCTCCCCACAGCCGCCAGAGGGCACCTGGGAACACCTGTGTCCCTCCTCCGCTCAGAACCTCCCATGGCTCCCACCTCTCTCAGGGTGAATGCTCAAGTCCTCACCGCAAGCCCCCAAGGCTCTGCACGCTCCGCACTTGCCTTCTCTCCCTGTCACTCACTCTGTTCCAGCCACAGCAACCTCCTCAGTGTTCCTCAAACACGCCAGGCATAGTCTTGCATCAGGGCCTTTGCACGGGCTCTTTCTTCTGCAAGGATTGTTCTTTCTGCAAATATCTATGTGGCTTCCTCGCCCATGTCCTCCTTCAGGTTTCTGCTCAAATTCTTTATCTAAGAGGCATTCTAGCTGACCCCAGTCTGACCCCCCTTCTCTGTATTTATCCCGTCATGTGGTTGTTCCCAATCTCACCCACTAGAGGGCGAGCTCCATGGTAGGGGCTTTCTTTTCACTGCTTGCTTGTGCTCATAGCATTTAGTGGTGCAGGAAGCTGTGGTTATTGGGGCTGAGCTACACGGGGTGGGGCTGATCCATGACCCTGGACTCAGGTTGGGAGGTCAAGACTATTGTGGGAGACCCTTCGGAAAATCCTCTTTGTAGTTGGGCTGTTGACACCAACCTATAACAGTTTGTCTTTCCTCATGGGAAGAGGGGGACTTAGTAGCTATGTTTACCGTCTATTGTAGGTAAATGAGGTGCCCAGGGTCTCTGTGGCCCCTTCTTGGATACAGGGAAAGAAGAGAACAAGACATTTCCCATTCAAAGTCACTTTCTCCCTATGACTAATAGGTTTCCTGTGTCTCTTGGAAAAAAGGCAGATGCCTGCTGTGATGGACTGAATTGTGTCCCCCTAAGATTCATATATGGAGTCCTAACCCCCAGTGTGACCGTATTTGGAAATAGGACTTTGAATGATGGAATCAAGGTTAAATGAGGTCCTTAGGGCCTCAGGTCCAATATGGCTGGTGTCCTTATAAGAAGAGGAAGGGGGAGCCACTGGGGGTTCAGAGACACAGAGAAAGACCACGTGAAGAGGTGGCCATCTGCAAGCCAAGAAGTAAGGCCTCGGGAGAAAACAACCCTGCCAGCACCTTGATCTTGGACTTCCAGCCTCCAGAACTCTGAGAAAATAAATGTCTGTTGTTTAAGCAGACGAAGACACCTGCTCTTAGTGTCTGAATAAGGTAAGGGACTCAGAGCAGGACTTCTCGACCTCAGTCAGCACTACTGACAATTGGGACCAGATTATTCTCGGTTGTGGGGGGTGTCCTGTGCATTGCAGGTTGTCAAGCAGCATCCCTGGCTTCTACCTACTAGATGCCATGAGCATCTCCTCTACCCCTGCCCCAAGTCCTGACAACCAAAACTGTCTCCAGACATTGCCAGGTGTCCCCTGGGGGACAAAATTGCCCCAGTTGAGAACCACCACCTGAGACTCTTTCTGCCTTGATTCAGGACTATCATTCACATTTAAACAGGAAGACTTTTAGCAAATTATTTCAAGGTTATTCCTTCTCCAAGTGGGTGACAGTCACCCACAAACTGGGTATGCCCCAGCCCCTCAAGAGATGTTAAGTTGTGGTTTATTCCTACAGTGGAATATGATTCAGCAGTTAAAACAAAAGAACTACAGCTTATATATAACAATGGTTGCATCTTAGCAATAAAATATTAAGTGAGGTGATGGCCCTTTCCGCAAGAATTCCCAGCTGAATTTGTATAAGGTAGAAAGATAAATAGGAAAATGTCACCCACAGTGACAAATAAATGTTGCTATGAATAGTCTTCATACTATGCCTTTGACTGGAAGGGCTCAGAGCTCTTTGGGCACACCTGCCTTACCATTTATTCTGATAAGAGCCCATGGAAGGTTATTGAGGACTGATCGCAACCCTTGGTGTGGTGTCGCCCGCACTGCGCTCAGCCAGTGAGCGCACCAGCCATTCCTATATAGGATCCGAACCCGCGGCGGGAGCGTTGCTGCGCTCCCAGCGCCGCATTCTCCCGAGTGCGCCACGGGGTTGGCCCTCCTCTGTCTCATGCTGCAGGCCTTTGGTGAACATTGTGTCGCAGGGTCTGTCCTGTGCACTGCAGGATATTCAGCAGCATCCCTGGCCTGTATATACCAGATGCCACCAACACCAGCCCCCTGCTGGCTGTGATAATCAAAAATGTCTCCAGACATTGACCACTGTCCCCTGGGTGCAGAATTGCCTCTGGTTGAGAATGCTGAATTAGGGTTTAACCCCTGACCTGGACCTGCAAGACCTGACCCTACTCTTCCTTTTTGGTAGCATTTCTCACTTTCTAACACATTAATACTCTACTTATTTATCGTGCTTATTGTATGTCACCTGTTTCCTCTCAGCTCCGCATCTTTCACCGCCATATCTCAAGCGTTGAGGATGGGGCTGCACACACAGGAGGCACCTAATGAATGCTCTTGTTTCATCAGCCGTGCCTAACATGGCCCCCAGTTTCAGGCTGATACCACGTGCCAGAAAGCCACAGCAGGCCCAAGCCCTTCAGCTCTCCTGAGGAACACCCCAGCACCTTCTGGGCTGTTCCACATTCAGACAGAGCCTGGGCTCTGGTCGCAGCTCCCCCAGTCTTTGTGAGGAGGAAAGGGTGGGACAGTGGCCTTATGGCTGGTTGGCCACATGGGATCCCAAATGAGCACCTGGGCTGTCCCTGGGTGGGGTTAGCCTGGATTTTGATTCTTTCTAAGACAATGGCAAAAGGCATTCTTGTTTGGGGAACCGGGGTCCCCTACAACCACTGGTGTGCCAGGGTTTGGGACAGTGCGGCCACAGGGGATGCTCGGGCAGGCACTGAGCAGTCTGTACTAGTTAGCTCTGGGCTTATGTCCATGCAATCCCCTAATGCTGTGCACGGCTGTTAGTATGTGGCAGCACAGAGTTTATAAAGCTCTTGCTGTAAGCTCTTAGCGGAAGTCAGAACATCAGTGTGAGGCTGGGTAGCTTGATATGCTAACTGGGTTTGTTCAGGCAGGTGGTCAGCTCTGCCTTCATTGACTGGGGTGGGGACAACCAAGAGGGTAAGGGGAGATGAGGGGACACAATCTGAGCCACTTAGAGGGAGGCTTCAGGGGTCCAGACACAATGTCTAGAAGAAAAAGAAACATGAAGAAAGACTTTCCCCAGACAAGAATGAGATTCTTTGGGGCAGAGAGAACAGAGGGGTGGATGGGAGGGAGAGACAGAGGAGAGAGAAAGACAGAGACAGAGAGGGACAGAAAGATAAGCAAAGGGACCCCCCCCCCCCCCC